GAGTTCAAATTTTGTGTTAAATCAAATTTCTGTTTCATTTTATACATTAAGAATAAGTCATTTGGGAATATGCTGTAAGAGTTCTCTTTGTGAAATAAAACATTGAGGACTTATTTTGAAAGGTGATATTTAGAATAGACATGAGGAGAATAGAAACTGATGATAAGTGATTGATTATTGACACTTCAAATGTTCCGTATTTTACACTCATGAAGAAATCAAATCATTTGATTATGTTCACTATCATTAAACTTGTTTTCCGGTGAAAAGCATACGGTGGAGATTCTCATTGAATGAATGGAATTGAATAGATTTGCAGGTTTTTTTCTTTTTCCTGCATTTTGTAGAGGAGTAAAAAACGAAAACGAAATGTTCCGTTCGTTTTACTATTTTACTGCCAAACAAATAGCATCTTTGGGAAAGAAAACCAGGATAGAATGGGATAAGATAGAAAAGGATAGGAAAAAGAAGTGGGAGTAGTAATAGTAATAGTATTAGTAGTAGTACCTACCGGAATACAATGAATGATTGGGAGGTTTTTCGAATGCAGGCAGCGGCATTCTACCCATCTCGGGATAGATGAATGGTTGGATGGTTGGGATGGATAGACACTGTCCCTATGCCTCTTATGCCTATCCATCCTCTTACCCACTTCTTCTACATTAAAAAACTAACCCTCATCACATACACACACACAGACACACACAGACACATACACACATATACACACATAACACATATACACATACACACATATACACGTACACACATACCCACACACATATACACCTACTTGGCCCTTTTTTTCATACGCTTCACTTGCCACCTTTCATGCGTACATTTCTATCCATCCTCTTTGTGCTCTCGAACAGATTTTCACAAATTTTGAAAAGGCCCTCTCATTCTGTACTCTCAGTCTCTTTGCCACAGAGTCGCCCCTCCTCCTCCCCCTGAACTCTGTATGTTTTGCAGAATGATGATGAGTGCATATGGGTGTCTGTACTAATAGGTAACGTACTACACCGATCTGTTACACGGCCCTTTCCCACCCCACTTACCATAAGTCTTCCTTTCCCCTCGACGTTACCCAGCCATCCTATCATCATCCACAACCACGTGCTTGCTGCAGCTGCAGGACATTGATGGCCGGCTATTCATCCTCAATTGCAGTAGCACTGTTAAAGTTGAAATCCTCTTCATTCCGCTTCCTCTCCTCCTCCTCCTCCTCCTCCTCCATTCTTCCTGTATGTGCGGTAGTTTCGCTTCCAAAAAAATCTTTGGTCTCTTTTCCTTTCCTTTCCTTTTCTTTCCACCATTCGTATGGCAGCGATGTGTTTTTTTGTATGTTTTTTTTTCCTTTATCATTCCGAATTACGTCCGTTTCGCAATACAATTTGTGTGGATTGCTGTTGCTGTTATTGTTCTTTGTTGTTTGTTTGTTTGTTAGTTATTATTGTTTGCTCGTAATTCGTTGCAGGGAAACCGTTGGACAGCTTAAAGAAGAGTGGAAAGATTTGACTAGATGAGTCCGTTTGGGGTGCGTGAGGGCAAGGAAGAGGGGCGTATATTTGCAGTGAATGACAACATTTCTTCCTTCCTTCGCGTTGGGTCAGCCAGCGAGCTGATGCATCACTGATTGTGTCTCTCTTTTCTTGTTTCCCTCTACCAATGCTTTACTTTAATTCTATCACTCTCGACGCTAACTTATTACCTGACACCATTGTCCACCTCATTTTCAGGTCATCATATTTCATTTCACCCTCTTAACCCGTCTTCATGTTTTGATATGCTAGAAAGAGTGTGCAATGCAATGCAGTAACATCCAATGCAAAATCCTTACAGTCCCGACTATCTGAATGTAAAATGATTGACTGAATCCTTTTTTAGTTCTTTAAATATATGTGAAAAGGGAAGAAAGAACATCGTGGAAATGGCATCAAAAGAAAAGATTCATCGAAAATTCCTTCTATATATCATTTCATCAAATTAGTAATCATGCTCAAAAATTAATAAATTCAAATGATCATATAGCTAAGTGATTAATTTCAACTTATCAATCTTTAAAATTAGAGATTAATAAGCTGAACTCATCAATGATTTTAACAAGTTGATAAGTTCAATAAAGATTGTAAGTGGTAGTAGCAAGACTTCCGAGTTTTCTCCTTAATCATAATGGACAGTCTTCAAAATTATAGCAATCAAATGTAGTCATGAGTGAATTGAAATATTTAAATAATTTTTCATGCCATTAAACAACTTTTGATTTCATTTCTAATATTTATCATGATTTATGTAATTACACCATTATTGGGGATTCGAAATGACTGAATAATATTGCGGCATGTTTACACATCGAACAAAAAATGTACTATTTGACAATTAAAATAGGATTTCAATCTAATGACAACCTAATGACTGTAATTAGATATTTACGAATTGAAGAGAGGTAACGGACGAGTATGTAATAACTTAGTTAAAATATAAATCTTTTTTCACAATCACTCGAGTAATAATAATAGTAATACATTTATTAAATTTTAAATTCAGTTCATTTTCTTAAGTAAATCTTCATTATTGATCAAATGTCATTATCATTCCTAATATTCCGCTTGCTTATTCAAGACTTATCTATCATTTACAGTTCGATCCATGTTTATAAACCTACAAACCTAACTTGTAAAATCTTCAAAAACTAATACATAATTTCTTTTCTTTGGATTTCAATATTGAAAATTTATAACACGTGTTAATTATACACATTCCCTTACATGCATGTGCTCATTTTTTGCATCTGTTCCTCTGTTCCTCTGTTCCAAACAACGATGAGGATAAAATTTGGAAATTTTTGAAGAGTTGTCAATGATCTATCAGTTAAATGTTGAATTTTTTGATTTTTCTTAATTTTTTAAATTCAGCATTTCGAAATTTTTTAAATTCAGCATTTTGTCTAGTAATCTCATAATTTCCCATCTCTTCTATTGCTAAAAATACTCGTTAATGAATTTTAACTCGAAATCATCGTAGTTTCGTTATAATCAATGAGTGAGATGTTCCAGTCTATATCATCAATCTCACTTTTTACATTCATAATGTTAAAATTTAGATTTATACTTAGTGCAACATTATTTTTTTTTTTTACAGCTGGTCATAATATACATTTACGTATTTGTTTGTTTTGTCTCAAATGCAAAAATTTTTCATATTCAAGAGGTAAACAATTCCACTACAATTTAAAGTCCGTAAAGTGTAGGTATATGTAAAATTAAAATAATTTTTAATTACAGTTAATCACTGCTTAGAATATTTTTGTTTACTTCAAATATTATTGAGCTGTTAATTAATTAAACTTTATTCATTTAATTGGATAGAAGATTGATTTATGTCTCATTCTATACTTGAAATGTATTTAAGTAATAAATGAAAGAAATGATGGAAGAGATGATGGCTGTAAACAGTGATAATTTATATTCCAATTATTAGCCCAGATTTTCTTATGAGAAAAACTTGGTCTAAACAAATAGGCTTCATTTAATATGAGAGAAAGGAGTATTGTTTGTGACAAAACTTTTTGTCAAATTATTTTCCATTTAACAAATCATTTCAACTTTTCTTCCTAATCACAACCATTATTTTCGATCCCAAATATTTATTGCTAGTCTTTGTGAATCCTATAGGGGCAGTTATTGATTGACGGATGAATGTTTCGAATTGTAAATTGCCAAGTTGCTCTTGGCTCTCAGTATGGTTGCTATTGATACGCTTGTGTACACTGAACCGTCATCATGTCAAATCCTATTGGTTAACTGACATAAATTACAATCTATCAGCCATTAGTTAGTAGCAAACTGAAAGATTATTTTCGTATGGTCATAGGTCAATGATTATTGGTTGGTCATGAATTAGCTTTTAAGGATATTGCTTAAATCATATTCTATTATGATCATAATAAATCCATTTGATAAAGTGAACAAATATATCGATCTATCAATTTCTGCATTCTCTTGATTAATGAATTTTTTAATTTCCTTTTTTGTGAGCGCTCAAAAATCGACATCATTTTCTCGTAATGATATATGCATAGGATTATTGTTGATTATTGTTTGACTGATTTGAGTTTACTATTGAACTTTGAGATGGGAAAGGAAAGATCGAGCAGTGGACTAATAGATATTCACTGATTTGATTTGTTATCTTAGAAATGCGCAAATTTTCCATTGTATTTCTTCCCTTGCGGCATTTGCGCATTTCGCAACTAATGAGGGGACAAGATGTAATTATCGTGCATCATCATGTCAATAAACTCTTTTCCATTGCTGTTTTTGTGCATTAGATTGAACCGAAATTATACATTAATTGTTCATATTCATCTTTTTCTCCCTTATTTTTTCAGACTTAAGATTTCTAAATTTACATGCTGGATCCTTGGCCGTAGCTTATTCTCTTATTTTCATTTTCCGCATATCTTAAAGGCGATTTATTTGAAGAAGATAAGTTAACACTGCTTCTCGAATGAATATCGCCTATCACATAGCACACGGGAAAGATGATCAGATTTGATAGCGCCATCAGAATGAAACTAAAAAACTGTGACACAAAAAGAGAGGATAAAATTCTGATAATGTCGGATATATGAAGTCCAAAACGGGTAGTAATGACAATGCTATTTATAATAAATCAAGTTATGGCTAAAATACTCATTCAACTTTTTTCTAAGGCTTTCATCAGGATGATCATATTTGGTGGTGATTTAAAAATTCATCAAATTTCACAAAATGATATTTTGAAAAAAAAAAATTAGTTGATAATTTCAGAAATTTTCAACTTATTAACTTTTTTCCTGTTCCATTTTTACCATTTTCTTTTTCCAACAAGTTCGTTCTCTGATCTTCTATGATGCTTTTGCTATGCTGCGACATTAGCGCTCTATCAATATCGCTGTGCTAACTAATAGGCGGTGTGAAAATATTTTGAATCATTCATTTGTGAAATAATTTTCAGTTATGAAAGACATTCATGGAGCAGATTTAAACGAGAATCTATGTTGTTCGTTGTGCAAATCGTATTTGATTGATGCGGTGACGCTTACTGAATGTCTTCACTCCTGTTAGTTAATCAGCTCTTTGACCTCTCGCTTTTCAAATTTCATCATTTCTAACCATTTTTATTCTTTTCATAACTGTTTAAGCATATAGTTAAGAAATAATTAATTTTAATCTTAGCATTTACTGTTAAGGATTCATTCTGTAGTAGTTTTTAAGTTTGACTTAGTAATAGCTTTTTTTTAAGCTTTAATAACTTAGCTTTCTGTTTCTCACACACTGCAAAATTAAAAGCAAGGAATGTAATACAATTAGTGATGAGAATAAGAGGTTGCGTTAGTTTGGCCTTTGGTTTTCATAAAATATAATTTGGAAATTTCAGATTGTCGAGCTTGTTTGTTGGGTAATATCGAGAAAGCCGAAGTGTATCATTGTACAAAGTGTGCTGCATCATTCGGTAAAGATCTTTCCGAGGCATTCGTACGTGATGATACACTTCAGAAATTGGTTTACAAAATGGTACCAGAAGTTTACTGGCAAGAGTTACTTCAGCGTGGTGAATTTCTAAAAAAACGTATCGTTTCACCTGATGAGAAAGCAACAATTCTTGATAAAGTAATTTTTTTTCTGTATTGCATACTTAAGCGATATTACGCTTTCTATAATAGATCAGCAAAATATTGCGAAATTGGAATATAATGAATAAATCTGCAATTTATTATGAAACTGAAAGCTTTAGAAATATTCCATAATCTTATCATTGCTTACATTTTATGTAATTCATTATATTTCTAAAGTTATATTTTATGTATCAGAAGAGTTTAATGTGCAGTAATCATGTGCTCTGATGTTTTTTTCCAACTTCATTAACGATATAGAAGAAAGATTGGAAAAAGAAAAAAGTTGATTAATATCTTTTGAAAAGGACACTGACAAATCTTTTGTTTTGTTTTGTTAAGGAGCCTTTACATCTTACTTATTTTTTTTTCTACTTCCTACAATTTATATATGAAGCGAAAAATGAGACAAAATTTGATCAATAATAATTTTACTAATTTTAGAAGCTCATGCAACTCGCCTCAGAACTTTGTGCTCCGAATGAGATGGTTTCATTATGTTTAGAATACGTATCACCGGGTGTATCAGATAATGACATCGGTGAAGATAATAATGATAAGGAAGCAGTAAGTGCATCAAGATTGCTTGATGATAACAAACCATCAACAGTTGCTGAAGCTGATCGTTTGGAAAAACAGGAAGCAATGCTGACTACATTCAGAAGGTATTCATATTTTCTTGATTAATTCACTTTAAAATGAAATTGGAAAGTTTGATGCTAAATTTCTAAGATCCTTCTCATTTTCCTGATTTCACTGCAATTTTTGCTAATTTTCTTCGAACAAAAGGAGGCAACTGTTATTGACTTCAAAAATTATAGCTTTTTATTATTTGGAAATACTATTTATATCGTGAAATTTATCAATTTTCAAAAATATAATTCAAAGGTTTTTTTAGATATTTTCGTTGTCAAGCATCAACAAGAATTGGTGCACTACGGAAATTATTGGAAGCGAAATTAGAGGTTTCGGATACTTATCGATTGTTTTTTGTCGACAGTGATTGCAATGTGACGCTGGATGATCAATGCACACTACAGGATATTGCTTATATGTTTTCATGGAGACGTTTGGGACCAATGAAAATTCTTTTCACCTTACAAGTGAGTGCCTAAAAAAATATTTGTAAATTTACATTTTATAAATTCATTTATATCATTTTTTTCAATATTGTTGAAAATTAAATTTTTAGTCTTACAAGCTTGTTCTAAATTTTTGCTACACATTTCTGCTCTATATTAATTTTTTTTGTAATTATTGTATTTGCAGCGACATCTCGAAGAAGAGAAGCCACCAGTGTTAGATATGGAATTTATGCCGGAACTTGTTGCTGAAGAACCTCTTTCACAAGGAAATGCTGCAGTCACAGCTGCAATTGAAACTCCTGTACAGTTGCCAGCATTAACTGTTTCACTAAATACTTCAATGATGGAAGGTGGACCAAATCACCAACCTATTATTACTACCGAAATCCATCCACCACCCAGGTGAAATAATTTCTATTCATTCGACTTTTAAATACAATTTCGTAGTTGAGATAAATTAGTAATAAAATACACATCCGCATTCACAGGATCATGATTTTTGCAAACTATATTCTTTGTATACAGCGATGCTCTAATGAAAGGTCAATTAATTAGGAAATGATGAATTTCGATCCTTTGTTTTTGGCAAATTTCTTCACGTATGTAACAAGTTATTCATATTTTTTTGTTGTACTTCAGATTTTTTTAACAGGAAGAAGAGAAAGTCTACTGCACCAACAAAGAAACAAGCTGCATCTCCAGTACCTGTGCAGCGTATGACCGGTGTTTCACCGCTTGCAAAAGGACCTCCACCATTAGTACGACTTGAAAACAGTGGTTTAAATAAGAAAACTAACAGCAATGGACGCATAAAAGCTGCTGAAAAAACTTCATCAAAAACACCACTTCATGAGGATACACCTGCTACAAAACAAGCAAAGCTAATGCCAACATCTTTTGATAACAAGTATATTTTTTGCAGTTTTTTCCTGTCTTAATTTATACTTTCTCTCTAGTAATTTATTGTGCGCGAAAGTTATTTTTCAGATTACAGCAAATCATTGATTCATCTCCAAGTCGTTCAGCAAAAATTCCCAAGGGAAACAAGACAAAGACATTACCAAAAACAGCGTCATCTGATGTCACCGAATCATCATCTAAAGTTGTGTCGAATGATAAACCTGCAGACTCAAGTAGTAAAAATGGAAATACAAATAGCAATTTGCAAACAGTGAAACTAATATCCACCGATGGTATCAAGACCGAATCGGGCTCATCTAATGTAAAAACTGAGAATGTTACAGCAAAGGAAAAAACTCTTAGTAAATTACATACAATTTCGAAAATCACAGAGAACACCACAGTGATTACAACTATTTCTACTCCAGCAAGTACGGCGGCAACAACAACAGCAATAATTAGTCATCCGAGACCAATACAGCCACGTCCAATGGAGATGAAAACTAATTACGAAGCTTTAGTGAAAAGTTATGGTTTAAACGGAATGGGAAATAAGGCATGTAATTATACTTTCGTTCTTTTTTGTTTTTTTTTTGATTTTTTAATTGTTATATTTTTGTAAAGATTGTTTAGTCTTTGATCAGTTTTCTTTTCTTTTCAAGAAATTCAAAATTTTTGACTTGAGAATTATATTTTCATTTGTTGGTATAAGAAAATAAATCAACAATAAAGTAAAATAGATTTTCTTTAAACAAAAAATGAAAAATGAATTTTTATTTGATGATTAAACTCTATAATTTATTTTCAGCTTTCCTCTTTTCCTCTAGACGGAAAAAATGTTGGATTTAGTCCACCAATGCATATGCAACCACCACTATTTATGGATCCAAAAATTGCCGCACAACCAATTAAGCATATTCTTTCTGGACGTGCTATGCCGCCCATTGTACCTGAAACCACTCCTTATCTAAGGTATTTTTAGATTTTTATTTTTTATGATGAATATATAATTATCCTTTGCGATTTAAATTATTAAAATCTGGACCGTAGTACATTTCATTAGCTTTTCTCTAAAGGATGGAATAGTATTGTTTTAAGCCAGTATAAGTACGATTGAACGTGAGATGAATTAATATTTTCTCATCCTAGTTTCATTTTATGGAAATATTTTCATTATTTCCATTTATATTAAATATTTTAGGATGAACCATTAGTAATACTAATCTGGATCCATTCTGAAAGCTTTTTATAATAGGCGCTTTTTTTGCCAAAATGATACACAAGACGATTCCATCAGGATAGTAATATTTTTTTCGTTTTTTTTTCAATTAACTGATAAATTATTTATTTACTTACAATATTATAGGTAGAATGAAAAAAGTGTATAATTCATTTATTGCTTTATAAGAAATAGTAAAAACAAAGAATATTTGAAATGAAAAATTATTTTCAGGAATCCAGCATTGGCAAATTTCATGCATCACCTGCATATGCAACCACCTCCAATTCCGGGGCTTCCTGGTAGCAGCACTCCGCCTCTTCTCTCTCATAACAGTGGTTCAACATCGTCATGCTCCTCATCTAATCAACTTACATCATCAGTACATAATCCTCCAATCAGTAATGTTTCAGCAAAAAATTCTCAACAACCTGCAGCACTTAAACATCCTGCAGCAGTGCCACTTCCGCCAACAGCTACTAATTCAAGCGGTAGCAGTAATAGTAGTAGTAATAATAGTAGTAGCAGCAATAAATTATTAAACAGCAGTGGTAGTAGCAGCAGAGCATCTTCACCAGCTGCTGCTAAATTGCAACAGAAAATTGTTTCTCCAATTCCAATTCCAACTGCTCACATAACACCATTTATGAGCCATAGTTAATTCTTCCTTTCTATACATTGTTAGCACTGAATTTGATAAATGATCATTTTCGAGAAGTGTATAGATTGGCTAGAATCAGCTAGTAGGAATGCTGGGTGAAATAATATCTCTCTTCATGCCTCAGTTCGATGTTGTTAACCTCGTTAATCATTTTTTTCTTTTCTTTTTCTTTTGAATCCTTCTGGTCTTGCATAAAACGTCATTCATTTTACTGATTAACTAAAACAACTAATTTATATCATTAATAATGCTCATTATATGATTGACGTTCAGCTTTAAAATGTCAAGATTGGATAACTCGGGGATTTCATTCTTCATCTGTGCTATATTGTTATTATTTACCGATGATGAAATGTACAGGAAAGTGTAGATAAGTCCGTCTTTGCCTTTAATTAACATCAAAATCATCCTTTCTATTTGTTTTTTTTTTTACTGGCTAGTGCTGTACATTTTGCTATTTTTTTCAACTTGTTCATTTGTTCAAATAACACTAAGCTTTTATTTCCTTCCAAAATAGGTCAAATTTTAGTTATTTATACATGCCTAGCATTACAATTGATTAAGGGATGCAAATTATTGGTTATTATACTACCAAAATATCAAATAAAATCGTGATTAAAAAAAGAAAAATCGGAAGTAAAATTGAAAAGAATTATTTAGGATAGGGAATGTAAACATATATGATCTTAGCGTTTTGTTTTATGCATTTCCGTATTTGCCATTTCTTCCTGATAATTTTTTTATTTAACGGAAACTCACATCCGGTGTATGATAAGCACTTCCACTCTGTAAAGTTCATTTTGTTAAGTTTTTATAATGTTCTTTTACTGTATCAGTTTCTTTATCAATGAAAAGCATTGCTTTTGATGCCTGTTTTTTCTTTTGTTATTTTAAGCCAAAAATTTTCTCTCATCTCACCGATGATATAACCTGTCACATATAACTTTTTTTTTTTTAAAATCAAACTCATTGTTATTTGCTTGATATCATTGAACAATTGGAAGTTATATAAATAAATGTTTATATAACTATTCTTGATAAATATATGTGATAAAATGAACATAATACATTCGTTGCTTTCCTAAATTTCAAATCCGCAAGTGGTAAAAGTAAATGATTGAAAATTGGTATCATGATGAGAAAGAAAGTTTCTGTTACCGATAAGAATTCCAAAAAACTGGAGCGAAAGAGATGTCAGCGAAGTTTATTGTGTGGAAATGAATTTAACAAGTAACTGGATAATTTGTCCAATTTCATTTATGATTGGCATCCATTACTGTCTTTTTATCATTAGTTTTTTGCAATTTCTCTGAATTTCATTGTGCTTATTCAACAAGCTTGAAATATTCGCATGTGAGATTTATCATGCTTCTCATATTGTTTCACGTGAAATTGGATATATCACCAAGTCAAGTGATCTATAATGCTATTTAAATTATGTATACTTATACCACGTGCTTCACGTTGAAGTCAAGCAATGTTGCTTGAAAAAATGAAAAATGGCTTCCAAACTAGTGTATTTTTGTAGAAGTGGACATAAAAACTTGGAATAATTATGGCGCGAATTCTTATTTTTAATTAGTGAATTGATTAAATGTGATAATTTGGAATTCATTGGATGCGATTGGTAATGTGACGGAAACTCTTTCATTTTCAAAACCGAGAAATTCCAAAAAGATATGATGAAGTTGGAATGGAAATTTTAATTCTGGAATGCCTGGATTACGGTATCGACCTTAGGATACGGTATCTGGGGAGGGAAAGCGCAAAAGTACCAAGGATTCTTTGTTGTTTCATTGAATACAAATATATGCGGCAATTCACAAAATTACTTTTAACTGCTTTTATGATCATAATGCTTTATATTTGTTGATAAAGTAGTAATCTGAGTGCTGTACACAACCATTAAGTTGATAGTTGAAATATCAAGCTTCCAGCGTTGCTTCATTTCCTTCAAATCTATTCATCCCTCTTATATTGCATCAAATTTTTATTGATGCGATGATCTTGTGTTATCTGTAAAATTCTTTAAAAAATTCAAGAGAATCAAAGTATTTATTTACCTTCCTTTGATTCTTTAGTAACTTAGAGAATTAAATTTTTTTCAAAAAATATCACTTTTTGATTTCTTGATTTTGTACTGTAGCAGTTGCCAAACAATAGAATTCATTAATTATCAAAAATCTGCACAGTACATGATTACAGTTAGGGAAAAATGTATGTTTCTGATTGCATAAATATGTTATGCATAAATATGTTATGGATAGTTTACATATATGTTATTTGTTCTTCAAACTAATCAAATTAAAAAAATTCAGTTATCCTGTTCAAATTATTAATTTTTCGAATAGCAGTAAGTAAAATTAAGTGGCAATCAAATTCTTATAATTATCAAGCATTTTGAGATATCGCAGTGATTTTAGATATGAAAACACAAGGGAGATTTGTTGATAGCTTAACAGATTCTATCTGCAACAGATTATTTATAACAATTCAATATGCTAACCTTTGATTTCATCAATTTATCTCTTATCACCAATTTACAACTATCACAAAATACTTAAATGATAATGAAACGATGAAAGAGTAATATATATCTAAACAAAGTACAAAACTTTTTGTTATAGTAATAATCAGCATTGGGAAAGATGAATTTTATCAAATACTTTTTTAGGCTTTAAAATTAAAAATTACAATTTGAAAAATTTAAGAATATAAAGAATATAAATGATAAATGATTTCTGCTCATATGACATCTCTGACTTACAAATATGTGATAATATAAGATCATCTTTTCAAATTTTGAAAAAAGTTAAATGAAGAATCAATTTCAGTTCCTCTCATTTTTTTTTCCTTTGTAAAAAATGGAACAAATCATTGTTTCTTTTGATCTCATGTTGACTCAATTAATTTGAATTATGAAAATCAGAAGCAAAGCAAATGCGCACATTTTGTCTAGAATAACACTCTTCATATCAGTACTATGATAAACTTGATAAATAACTATCATTAAAATATGAATATCTTCAGAGATAACATACATTTATGGAATTCTCGGAAACGAATATTATTTAGCTTTCCATTCATTAAAAGCTATACCACTTAATTTTTATCCAAACATAATATTTCGATTTCAAAATGGATGAAAACTAAAAATTATAACTTTGGTACAGCTTGCGATACATAATTTTTGCTAATTTTGTAATGATGACTTTCTATTTCAGAATTTTTTTATTGAATTTCAATAAAATGGAATTTATCATTGATGGACACTGAAAATAAAGAATTCATTCAATCTTAAAAAATACATTTTTAAATTACTAACTACAGCATATTGGAAAGGCCGCTGGAATAATTCGTTAGTTCACTGTTATTATTAAATGAATGAATTGAAGTCAATCCCATAAATCACTGTTTTTTTTTCAGCTTTACCAAGTTCAAAGGATTTGAATTTGAATTTGGCATTTTAAAATTCAAATATCTAACAAAAGTTTATCTAGCAAATCTTGAATAACAAAATTTTAATACAGTAATTATTTTAAAAAAAGGCTATAAATTTCCGATATTTGCACTTTTCATTTGTTCTACTTCGTTCGTTTGTATATTTTGTATTTTCATATTTATTTATTTGCTGCATCTTCATCAAATTAATGAACTTGCTTATATATGTGACCCTCATGTGACCAGTGAAGAATAATTGAAGTCGCAGATGGACATTAAACCTTTCAAATTTACAAAATTCAGAAAAATGGAGAAGCTATTCTACTTTTTGAAACGATATTTTTAACAAATGAAAAAAGTTCGGTAGATTTTGATACCAAAAAAATTGATTAAATTGAAGAAATATTGAATGAAATGTAAAAATGAAATATATTAAATTGAGGATAAAGTAAGAAATTTTTTACTAAACAAAAGTATAAAAAGATATTTTTTAAATAAAATACTGATATTTAATGTTGTAAAACTTATTATAACAAATAGTATTAAATTTTTAGTTTAGCTGGAGATATTTTAAAAAAAATATGAGCAAATTGAGATTTAACTTTTACTAAATTTATTCTACTTTGGAAACGAATTCAATAAATGAAATTGCTATTTATTAAACTATTATCACTTCATTAAATTATTTCTCATCCTCTAATATTATATATAATCTGTTATGATCCGAAATAATCACAATGTTTTATTATAGTTGAAATTTTAAACGCTGAACATATTAATGCAATTGATATCAATAATATTTGTTGAGGGATTAATTAATAAATACAGCAAACTAATTTCAAAACTAATAAATTTGTCGTATTTCTAAAGAAAGTTTCTAAAGAAAGCACCAATTTATAATAACTTGCTTAAGATTTAATAAATAATTATTATACTGGAATGGAAATTGAATTCATAATGACTTTATACTTAATTATCTTAAAATATTTGCAACTTATTTCAATTGAAACCAATAACATTTATCAAAATAACAATCACAAAACTTTTTTAAAGCGATTTTGACAAATGATTTTATTATAATTTGTTTTTTTTCCAGTAATTTTCAGAAAATTATTCACTAATTGTTTGTTTATTACTGTTTGCATTCATTTATCATTTAACTTTATGCATAAATTTTTGTTTGCCAGGAAAATATTCGGATGTTAGTGGTTTGAGTATTTCCGGAAAATTACGCTTTCTTTTTTGGCATTAGGAAAAAGCAATTTAACAGTCATTGGAATAAATGAATAACATGAAAATTTTTTGCTTGAAATTAATTGTTTTCAATAAAATAGTACGGTAACGGTCTATTTCCATAAAGTGCCTGATTTTTTAACATTGTTCGCGAAATTTTAATAATACCCGAATAGATGAAAGGAAAAGCAGAAAATATTTCTATATGGACAAATTTAGAATGTATTATAACAATAATGGCAGTAAGTTAAAAAGTTGAAATTAAAAAAAAAAAGATCTTCCTGATTTTTCCGATTTCGTTGTTGGATATGATGGTTGTGTATTTCATCGATGTACCATCTAACATGAAACTAATAAACATTGGGATCAAATAAAGTGATAAGTTTGAGTAGAAGAGCACAAGAAAAAATACAAGAAATAGGCCCAGATATTTTGGAATGAAACCAGCAATGCGGAGAGGTACAATGATCATTAATTTAGTAGGCTACTTATTGGCTAATCATTATTTATCATTATCCTAATACTTTCAAACACATAGCATTCTCACTAGAAGAGCGGAATGGATCGAAATTTCTTCGTGATGCAACCGCGTATGTTTAATTCAACCAAACATTTATCTTAGAGTCAAATTGTTCCTACTGTTAATCGTTAATCGTAAATTGTTCCTACTGTTATCTGAGACCACATTATTTAGCCAAGTAGAATAAAAATTTTTATGTAAATATTAGAACAAAACACATTCTTTACATACATCCTTTTTTGGCTTGATAGGCTTTTAAGCATCCTTTTATGAATTGTTAACGATGCATTCAAATTTGAAAATCGGAACTAAAAAACTTAACCGTTTATTTAATATTACCGTTAAACATTTGAGAAGTAGACTGTGTTTATTTATAATGTTGCAAAATTTACTTTTGGTAATTTAGATTGTCAATAAAATCAGTGACAATACCAACACAATTGCCAATGATTTTGTTGACATTCTAAATTACTAGAAGTAAATTTTGCATAATTTGAACTTTGAAATTAAACTGTTTTTAAAAAGAATGGATGGGTGTCCGTTTACAATGTGAACTGGAACAAAGTATAGAAATAACAAACTAACATCCATCAATATTCTTCATTAACAAATCTACACTTACAAAATTTTAATTTAAAATTTGATTGAACGATAAGCATAATTAGTTATTACTTGTTAATTCTCGTGTCCATTTCAATTAAAATGATGCCATCATCTTTTTTGTGCAACTCTTGTAAAGGATGAGTCATATCAGAATATTAAATTTATTTGTTGTTAGGACAGCAAAAATAGTAAAAGCAATAAAATTGATAGGCCTTAAAAGTAAAACAAAGAAGCAAGAAGAAATTTTAATGATTGTATCAATTGCTAAAAGATGATTTGTAAAGTGACAACAAGTTGTCGTTGTGATATTGACATTTTGAATGTTTATCACTGGCACGTTAGCTAATGCAACCAATTAGAATACAATGAAACAACTGAAGGAATTAAAAAGTTCAAATTAAAATTTTTTTCTTTCCATTTTTTTCTTACCATTTCTTATATTTTGTATTTCAAATTTTAATTGCGGATAAAGTTTGAAACGATACATTATAGCAAATTCACATAGAAATAAAATTTTTTCATAAATATAAATTTTGAAATTATTTTTGTAAAGATTGCAAAATAATCGTTTGCATTAAGAATTGAAAGTTGAGAAATATCTTTTGAGTTCAAAATTTTCTACAAATAAAATAATTCAACGTCATCTTTCTAAGAAAAAATTTCTTCCAATTATATTATCAAAAAAAAAAACCAACGACAATTTCTAATGTATAATTAGATTTTTTAATATCAAAATATAACTACACTTGAACACTGAAATGACTCAGATAACTTGAAAAATTGCAGTTTATTTTTTTTTTCACTTTCTGTTTGTTATGCATGTTCGGACATTTTTTGGAAAGATTGGAAGAGGTTGGTAAGTATTTTTGCCAAATTTTTGTTTGAACTGGAAGAGATTGGTAAAAATACTCACCAATCTTTTCCATTTCAAACAAATTTTTACTTAAAATAGTACAGAGAAGTGTCGTTAGTTTTTGATTCTTGATTATTTTTGATTTTTGATTATTGAATTAACAAACATGATTCATTAGTACAATTTTAAAATGCATCAGTCAATTGAAATCGAAATTACAATTGGAGAGACTAAAATAGAAAAATTGAAATAAATCGAAAGCAGTTAATTTTGAAGCATAGCTGTAAAATTATCAAACTAGTTCGTTATGATCAAATTACCAAATGAATCAATTCATTATGATCGACTTGTCGAATAAATCAATGTTAATTCCAGTTCTTTACGATCGAATCATCAAATGATCCAGCACAGTTCATTATGATTAAATTATGATCGAAAATAATCAAATCATCAAAGATTCAGTTTCTCTCTTTTCTTAATCTTGAAAATAAGCCCTTTTTTAAATCTTAATTAGTAATCGAAATAAAAAATCATCGCTCAAATCTGAAAAATATTGTTGGATGCTTAAGTTCTGTCTTTATCATACCATAAATATCATAAAGATTGTTTATGGCACTCTACATTGTAAGCTTTAAAACTTTATAAAACTTAAACTTTTCATCTTTCAAGTGATAGGCTAAAAGTGAAAAAATTTACTTCTTACTGCAAACTTCAATGATATGAAGCAAATTTGCCATGATCAATTAATGCATGCATAGATAATTGGAACAATGGACAATTAGCAGCAATGGTCATTGATGATTAAAATTGCAGCCTAGGCTACAATTCTGTATTTTTTATCCACAATTACACTCAAATTTAATTCAATATTTGAATGTTTGAGATCGTTTTTATCATCTATTCTATCGCATGCGGCTTTATTTAATTTGATAAATTTAATCTTAACTTGAAAAATTCTCAAATAACTTCCATTTCAAATAACAATCAGTTTTATGAGCTAAAATTTGATTTGGTGAAAAAAAGAAACTCTGCAAATATACGAGAAATCAAAATACAAAAACTATGCAATTTTTGCCGTCTTCATCGCAAATCGATCAATAGCGTTTTTTTCCCTCTTTCACTGCCATTTTTCAAAAATGAAAAATTTCCAATTCCTTATTTATTGAAATTACTAATAATAATCGAATTAAGAAAAATCAATGCTAATTTACGATAATTCCAAAGGTTAAACCAAAGTTTAACAATTATTTTAGGAAACAAACTAATACACTGATTGGAAATTAGTATAAACGTGTAAACGTATGCTAAAACGTATTCAAATTCAAATTATTCGTTAAGCAGCTATTATTTTGCATTTAATCTCGTGAAAAAAAATTTCTTGTATTACTTATCATATTAGCATTGTTGAATTGATACAAACAAATAAATTTTTATTAAAACTTCATAAGGAAAATTTAGTTTAAAAAGATAAATTAAGAGCCAAAAAATAGATCAAGAATAAAAACTAATTTTCGAAAGTGACAATTTTTTCAAGAATGGTTTATTTTCAAGAATGACAAATTTGCATTGGTTATGGGTCAGCAATCTCTGAGATTATGAATTGAATTTATTGAACATATATCGATGTATTCCTAAAATTCACTGAATCATACATTTCTATCTGTAAATGGCTACCCACTTATTGACACATTATGACAGTTTCCCATGAAAACGATGTCATCAGTGCCGTTTTTTCCATAATTTTAGAAATTTAAATGAGCAATTAAATATAATGATGCCATTTGTCGAGTAAAAATTTACGAAATGGCTAATTTTCAACTGGTTTATGTTCGACTAATTTGTCGCATAAATCATGCATGCTCAAAAATTCGTATGTATTTTAGCTAATTAAATTATATTTTTAGTGATGTGATAGATTACAAAAAATTTTTGGAAAGTGATTTTTAAGGAAAAAATAATCAAGAAATCTAATTTGCAACAATTGTAAATCATAAAGCGAAATTAAATCAAACATTTTTTTCCTAATTGAATAATTGACTGATTGATAGAAGGATTTATTGATTGATAGGTGTTGTAAAATATCAGCTCATATCAATTTATTGGTATTTCATTCAATTCAAATCGATCTTGATAAAATTGTTGCCAAATTTAGTATTTTGAAATAAATTCATGTAATATAAAAAATTTTTAAATAAAATTGCAAAACGATGAATATTTGATATAACGAAGAATGGTTGAAATGGTTGTAAAATGGTTGCACTTAAAATATTTGAATAACTTTAAAATTTCATGCATATGATACATATGATTGATCGGTATATCGGCGATTTAATTCAACGATTACGATGACTTCCTCTGATTGTGAATTGAATATAATTAATGAAATATAGCATTCACTAAAAACAAAATGATTCATCAGTGAATGAATTACAGTAATGATTTCAAATTGAAATAAACTGATACCTTAAGAAATTTAAAACGCTGAAAAGACATATCAAAAATAACTGTTAAATGAGAATATGATTTATTTGACCAAGTAGTGCATAATTTAAGCACGATAATTACTTAATTTTAAATTAATCTTTGAAAATATTGCTATTGCTAAATTTGAAGTTATCATTTTTTTTGTCATAAAAACGAATGTGAAAGCAGAAATTATGTATGTAAAAAACTGTAAACTAAAATTTTGAAAAATTTGACAATTTACAAACAAACATTTGCATATTTGCAAATTTAGACTTGAAATATTTCTTTTCAACAATATTTCTGTCATCGTTCAAAAATACTTCGATTATTATTTTACAACATTAATAAAGTAAAATTTAAAAAAAAAAGGTGAAATAAAATTGGAAGATAAATTGGTATTGGCTTTTTAACGGATAAACATTCTCATATTTTTGTGGTAACATTTAGTCGTATCGATGAGATACTGTGTAACAAACATTTAACAAACGTTTTTTATTCATTCATTTCATATTGCACTCCAAAAATGTAGCACTCAAATAGCATCAAAATTTGATTCAAAAATATTTTAAAATAAAAACAAAAACTTTCTTTGATTTACTTCAAAAATGATGTTTTAATAATGAATCGAAAATAGATTATTATATATCCGTTAATTTACAGTACTCAATAACAGTACCAATTGTTTGAAATAATTTCTTCCACGCATTTTCCGCATTTTCATCTCGCCGTCCTAATGCTCTCCGAATATTTCCCAGCAATGGCTGTATCATTTTCTATAAAAATTTTTATTTGGCAGAAAATTCCGAATTGTATAATTTGATAATAATTGTGTTTGCAAAAAAATTGCAATCAATTTATTCAAGAAAAAAAAATCAAATCGTTAGTAACTATGGTAATTTAACTCTGAAGTAATATAATTTTACTTCTACATACCCAGTATTTAATTCAATCTTTTTCATTTGAAACAAAAAGAAATTTAAAGAAAGAAAATGAATGTTTTTTTAATTTATTGCAATTTCCCTTGAAAGAATTTGAATTTTTTTAACATCAGTTTTTTGCTTTTCTATTCTCATTCTAAACAAATTTTTATCTTTCTTATAAAAAAAAAATACATAATTTTTTCAGAATTTAAATTGATTTTGATATTTTTGAAATTTAATGCTGAATGATTATGATCATTTGCAATACCTCAATGTGAATCATTTGTATATTATGTTTTGCATGTGTAACTGAAATTCTTTGTAATACTTCATACGGTACTTCTCCATTCCTCAAATGTTCAACAATTTTTTTGAGAGCATTCATATAAGTACATGCAAAATTTCGCAAAACACTGGATGATATCAGTGAACTGTCCGATATAGCACGAAATTGAGGCCAGAAAAATTTGTAATTCGGATTTTCCGAAAATATCCTGAAAAGAGATGAACATTTCATGCTGAAAAATCGTTGTTTCAATTAATAAATTAATTGTAAATTTCAATTCAATAATTGTGCTTCTCAGGAAAATATATTTAAGCTATAACAATTTCTTGTTATTTATTTTTTGCATTTATGACGTGCTTCGACAAATTGCCTCCTTATTTTAAGTTTAATTCCAATTAATCCTGATAAATCTAATTGATAGTGATAAGCTTAAAATAGCTGACAGAGGTCACTGTTACTCAAATAATCTCAATTCCATCATATACATAAAAAAGAAAGTTTAAAAAAGCTAAAAAAAAAAAAAACTAGAAAAACAAGAAAAAATATACGACAGTATTGTAAAGACTTCTAAAATAGCGGGCAAAATAATGAAACGATAGAAAAAACCATAGAGAGGGAGAAAGAGAAGGAAAGCGAGAGGGAGAAGGAAAAAAAATCACACATTTCAACATTTATGCAAAATAAACAAATAAAATTTTTTTCCTTTATAAATGCTAACTCAAGAAATATTCGAACACCATTCGATATCAAATCTTTTTCCAATAATTTGAATGTATCGTATAATAATTTACAATCTTCGACAGAAAACTTATTCATTTGGAAAAATTGAAAATCACCTGTAATATTGTTGTTAAAATTTGAGAAATCAGCCAAATTTCATCAATTTTAATTTACAATTTTTCATCAAACTTCTATTTTATGTCCATTTGATATTTCAAATAAACTATCTTCATTTTAATAGAAATAATATAAAAAGAATAGTTATAAATAATTTTCGCCAAAATGAATCAAATTAAATGAGAGTCTATAAAATAAAACGTATTAGTATCAAAATTAAATTTTTCTAAACAAACGAATTCCATTAATTTTTTACAAACAATTTACTAATCAATACAGCTTCCTGAAAGCTTATTTAAATGATCAAAAAAAAATAAAAAATGAATTAAAATTGTATCAAATGACAGCAACATCTTACTCTTTCTTTGATTTAATGTACACACTTGTAATTGCTCCTTATCGTTGGCGTCATTTCTAATTTTGTTCAAATAAAGTGATCGATACATGAAGACGACAATTAATTATATTAGCTCAATATGATAATTTGTGGAAAATTTTCCTTCCTAAAATAATCAAATACATTTATTACAGAAAAAAACAAATTCATAAATTTACATCAGTAAAACGAATAAATGATAATTTTTTCTGCTTTTCTCTCAAAACTCAAAAATTTTTCACATTTTCAAAATTCTTTTTCAATAATATTATAAACTAGGATTGCTCATTAAAAAAAAGTTGCATTACTATATGTAATCAATTTAGAATGAGCAATAAAAAGAAAGTAATTTTTGATAAATTAATTATACGAATGTTACATTGATAACTAATCAAAATACATTTCTGCTAAAAATGTTAAATTTTATTACTCTATTAAATTGAATTATTACTAATCCAAACTAATTCATTTCAATGTGTTTAGTGAAAACTGCTACTGAATATAATTTACCTTTTGTAAATGTAAATAATATTTTTGTCTTAAACGAAGAAGACTACACATTATAGAAAAGGCAATCGTTGAAAATAAATCTTTCCAAATTTATTAATGTCACAGAAATTAATGAAAAAATTGCGTGATTGCATGACAGTTGACGTTTATAATAAATAACACATTCATAGTTTTAACTAATTTTAAATATCATTTATAGAATTTGCAGGAAAGTTAGAAAAATATTTAAGTATATGGATTGTAGCTATATATTCGATTTAAAATTTGCAAGAGATGCAATTTTTAATGTCTATATAATATTAGGAGAAGTAATTATGATTTCAGCTTTCAATTTTCCAGAAAAAGATTGTAAACATTTTTTTTTCCTTTTTTTAGCCTTTCTCATTTTATGATACATATGAAAGTTACTTTATTTCACATTTATTTCTGACTTTCCGAAAGTAACTTAATTGCAAATTCAAGCGATACATTATTTTCTGAAAGAATTCTTAGAAAAAAATATCTCTCAAAAAAATCAAAAATTTCTTATATTTTTTAAAAATTCGATTTTTTTTTCATTTCTTAAATGGATTCATTAAGCAATGATTATTTTTCGTGATAATCAGCGCCTGAAATTATCTCTTTTTAAATTATGAGAAGCTACTCGACAATTTATATAGCAGTAACTTATTTTAATTATCAGTTCGCATCATTAAAAACTTCCTTTTACTTCCATTACCTCAAATCAATTCAACTAAGCATTCATCCATTCATTTCTATTGCATATGTTTCAATTTTTGCTAAAATTTACAATTCAAAATAACACTTTTCTGAATTTTTCTTTTGCTTCATCTAAATATCTGAAAAAATATTATTATCATATTGAAGCAGTCGGAATGCATTATGCAAAGTAATTCATTTTTCATTTTGTCGGGACTATTTAAGTGTTAAAATGAAAATAAAGTTTGAATTTTGTTGAATATTTTACATTCAATATTAAATCATTTTGCTCAAAGAAAGAAAACTTAATTTTTATAAAGATTTTAAATAAGTCACAGATTGATTTTCTACTTTTTATTTCAGCCTTTTTTTCGGATTTTTTCGCTTAAAAAAATCATACTTCCTTCAGTATTTTCACAAATTATTGAAGAATCATCAATTTCAATTTCACTAAAAAATCATCTTAAATTCATTCAATCTTTTTCAAAAATATTAATTTGACAATAAAATTTAAATCATACTAATGGAAGTAGAACTGATAGTAGTAATAGCACTAGTAGGAAAAATATTAAAATTTTTCTAATTTTTTTTACAAATAATGCATAATTGAGGCATTGATATTTAAAGATATCTGATAATGATTTGAACTCTGATCAGTAATTTATGATCATTTTCCATTCGTTCGATAGTTTCTTCCACTAATATTTCTTTGTTCAATTAATTTGTTTTTTTATCCCATCGTTTTCATTTTATAATTCAAAAATTAATATCGACCGGTAATAAAATAATCAATTAAAGGTATATCCAAAAATTTAGCAATTAATGCTTTTACATACAGTTCACTGGAGATTTTTTTCTCTTTTTTCCATTACTGCAAATTTTTGCTTATTTTGCTTCAAGTTAATTAATTATTCATTAGGTGCATTAGAAAATTTATTTATTAAATTTCTTATAAAATTGATCGTTCTGCAGTAAACTCATTTTATTCTATTAAAGAATGTTTCTAATTCACTTTTTTTTAACTCGAAAATTTAACTTTTGAAAATTTACTTTTATTTCCAAATCATTCTTATCCCTATATTTTAACCTATGAATGGTTTAAATTTTGATTAAAATTTTATATTTATTTATTCTAGACTTTGAGCTGTTTGTGAGACTAAAAATTTAGGAATGCTACTATAGGAATCTCAAAAATTTTTTACATATTTCAATTTCCTCCAGTATATGCAATATCATTACAAAGCAAAAGTCTTTTGTCAAACAAAAAATTAAAATTTGAAAAGAAATTTTCATTACATTCATTCAGAAGTTTCAAACTGTGTCTTTTAATTGCAATTAGTATTAGCGTAATAGTTATAACTAAAAACTAATATCTGAAATACCAAAAAAATTTAATATTTCAAGTATTATTTTTTTGAAATAAGAATTCTACGCAACGGATGTTTAAAAAGTCATTTTATACCATTAAATTGAATTTTTAGTAATAGCATTTGCAAATGCAATGAAGATATTCTAATTTAGTTGAATATCGAACATTTTTCTTTTTCCGTTTTTCAGATCATAAAGTTACTTTGGATGGAATCTAATTTCTCTTCTCATCTATCAGTAAAGTGTTATAAAAAAAAATGTGTGAAATATTTGTGAAGAAGTGCTTAAGAATGTCTTGAAAGCATGCAATTGATCTAAAATGAAATTTGCATATTTACAATTCATTTATAAAATTAATTAAAATATTCAAGAAAGAAAGAAGAATTGTATCCAAAATACGTTACACTTCTTGTGGTAGAATCATTAAAATAAGTTAATTTGAAAACAGTAAAAAATTGCTTCAAAATTTTTGAAAACTTTAACAATTCTTTATTTACACTTCAAATAATTTTATTTATGCATTCAGTAATGAAGTATTAAAGGAAAATTGAGGCATTTTGTCTGAGAGAATTTTTTCAGCTATGAAAAGTTTGTACTCATCCAATTCCTAAATGATTAATAATTTTCAATTAATTTTGCATTGTTTAATTTTCTCAATATCTCTCCGATACTTGAAATAATTGCTTATATTCTTAGATTTCTTCAGCATTTTATTTTTCCTTTTATTATAGCGTAATTTTATGCTTTTACAAAAAAAAAAAATTCTAATAATTCTCTGGGTAATTTAAAATTTTTAAAAATCCTTAAGTAACTCATTTAAAAATTTTGCCTACAAGCTATTTTTGTGGTATACTATAATCTTAAATTTAATTAATGTCATTAGCTAAATTTATTCAGACATCGATGCATTAACGTTCGATAAAGTTTAACATTAATAATCAATGAAAGTAATGAACTGCACTTTTCTTTTTTTTAAAGTTGTAAGAATTTTTGAAAATTGATATCTAAAAATTAATAATTTGAATAGGTGTAACTTCTGCAATTCAATTGAAATATAATTTATTGAAGTGCAAAAATATTCAGCGAAATAAGCAATGAATGAAAAATTGAATGAGACAAATCATCGCTCCGAGATAAGCAACCTTTTTTTTTTTCTTTTTAAAACTTAAATTCAATGCTTTTCGTGTTCGAATAGTTTGCTAAATAGAGAAGGATGAATATTTGAGAATGGAAGAATTTATTTGCATTTAAATGTTGATGAATTTGAAATTGATTAGGCGGAGCTGTTTTCTCTCTGCTCGTATTACCATTGAATTGAGCGGATTGAAATGAGGTGAATGAGTCACACGGAAAGCTTCAATCCTTAGACGAAGCTAATTTTATTCAATTCAGTGACAACCGTGGTTATTTCAAATTGCAAACTTGCTTTCCATTTTTGAAATTAAAATTTTTCAGCTAATTTTTTTTATTCACACTGAAAAACACTTTCGCATTTTTCGTTTTTAATTAGTTTATCTAAAGATTTTGGCGAATTTATTTACATTTATTTGGACATCATGAAAAATATAGAAAATCTACAATAATATCCAAGTTCAATATCAGAAACAAATCCATTGTTCAAGATCAGTTTACTTTAAAAAATTCATTTACACTATATGAAAATTGTTCATTTGAATTAAAATTTAATCCATACCAAGATATGAAATAAAAATTTCTTTTTCAATTGTTTGAAAATTTAAAAATCGAATTCTCATACTTTAATAATTTAATAATCATTGATATTACTGAAGATGAAATTTTCACTTAAGCATTGACTTTATCACATTCTTTTATGGTTACTATAGCAAACAAAAAAAAAAAAAAAGAAAGATTATTGGAAGACTCAATGAAACGAAAATCAAATTCTTTATATAATTGATGTTTGGATAGATTTGGTGGTGCAATCATGACATCCATTATTTTATTCCTAGCAATGTTTTATCCACAATTGAGAGCATTAAGAATGAGCGATTATCCGTGGACTTATGATAATGACCTTTTTGGAGGTAAATTTATTATACCATTAAATTTTACATCAAAATTTAATAATTTTTCTTTTTATAAAAATTATCGATAAAAAAGTTTAAATAAATAAAAATATACACATTTTGTCTCTTCATTTTTCCTGTTTAGAAAACGAACTTTTTTCTGGAAAAATTAATTAATAACATTTTTTTGAAGCTAAATTTTCAAATTTTATAGGACCTGATTTTTGGGGTTTACTGAGCAAAAAATGGAAGATGTGTGCGAAAGGAAAAATGCAATCGCCAATAAACATTAAACCGGCATCAATTTTATTCGATCCACGATTAAATGATATTAAAATAGATCAAATATCGGTAAGTTCTTTTTGCCATTTTCGATTAGTTTTTCTTTTTTTAAAAAAAAAAAAAATGATTCTTCTGTTTTTTCTTTTGTGAAAAAATGCGTGGAACTTTGTGTAGGCATTAATGCGCAATTCTTTATTGTTTCATCCATAAAAAAATTAGTACAATAGATTTAAAATTGAATCAAATCAGCAGTGTATCAATTTTTGATTAAAATTTAAATAGTGTGAAATTTGTATTAAAATAAGAATGAGCATTTTTCAATTTCAATTAATTTATCACTTATATCATATATATTGAAAGAAATTTTTGAAGACTACAAAATTCTTTACTTTAATAGCAAAATTTCAGTTTTGAATTAAAATAAAGGATTTAATTAATTAGCGAATAAATGGATTATTTTTAATTGAATAATAAATTTTACATGCATTCGATATAGAATTTGATATTATCATCTATTATTTTTTTCTCCTATTATAGTCACAATAAAATTATACAATAGTTTTTAGACAACAGCTGAAATGATGAACATAGGTCAAATGCCACGATTACGAATACTTCACGATACTCATTCTTCTGCGGTAAACATTACCGGTGGACCGTTACGTCCTTATAAATATCGCTTACAAAGGATCGATTTTCATTATTCAAACAATGAGATGACAGGTTCGGAGCATGCTATCAATTCAAGAAACTTCCCAATGGAGGTCTCTTTTTGTCTTGTAAATTTTGATGCTGCAAAAATGTCTGCTATATATTACAATTATAATTATTTTAAAATAACCATAGCCCAATCAAATTGTAACCGCATATGAAGAGGTCAATGAACAAAATGTAAAATATAAGATCAAAAAGAATGAGAAAGATTATGCAAAGGTTCGATGCATTTATTGCAGACTAAAACAGAGCTTTCTTTTAGATTCAATTGATAACATATAACACTGATTTGTATGCTAATTTTACGACAGCTTTAACGTTGCCACGTGGAATCGCCGCCATTTCAATTATCGTTTTGGTTAACGCTTCAATTTCTCACGCAATTCATTGCAATACTTTTTTTCGTTTCAATTTTTTTTTTCAATTGTTTATTGAAACAACCTTAGTAATAGTAATAGCTCAGTTGTTATAATGAAGACTTAACCTTCTCTATGATGAAGATTTGACCTTACTCTGGATAGTTGATTCATTTTAAATTAGCTTTTTTTAAAAAAAGATAATTACTTATTTTGTATTTCAATGATGCAAAGAAAAAATTTTATTGTTATTAGTCACAAAAGAAAATTTATAGGTCGATGAACATACCAATGATGAGCTATTGAAAATCACCGATTCCATTGAAAAAGTACCATTCAGAAGTAATGATCAAATTTCACTTTTAAATGTTTTCTCCAAATCATCATCTTTTAAATTTTGCTATTTTATCAAATTTTAACTGCTGTTTCGAATTGATAGCAATGTAGGAAAAAATTTCAGAGAAGCGATTTACACTACAGGAATTGAAAATATGGAAATTATTTCCAATTTTAAGAGATTATGTAACATATGAAGGATCGATGACATCACCAGGATGTTATGAAACAGTCACTTGGATTATACTTAATCATCCAATTCATATCACTTTGACAAATGTAAATTTTTTTATGAGAATGAACTGAAAAATTAGGAGAGATTGGGAAAGAGAGAAAAAGAGTTCAGAATGAATGCTCAAAATTTGCGAGCATTTCTTATAACTTTACTTCTTATACCGTATACAGGAAAGGTTATAAGCAAAGGTTAAATAGAGGATAAAGAGTAGCCCAATTAAATGATTGAACCCTAAATCGATAAATCAAAAATTTATATTCTATTCTTAATAATTTTAATATGATATTTTGAATTTCTATTTAACAAATTTATAATTTTGAGTAATTATTATGAATATATTACAGTTAAATAAATGGCGAAAACTACAACGAACCGTTACAGAGGAAAAAGAACCCCAATATGTGGCACCCAATTTTAGGCCATTGCAACATTCCTATGGGCGATTAATTCGAACTAATATTATCAGCAGAGTAAATTATATAAGTATTTAAATTTCTTCAATACAATTTTTTCTCATAACAAATATGCTTCAGTTATTTCGTGGTCGTCTCAATTAAACGAGACGTGATAATTTATCGACTTTTCAACAACATTTTAAATTTAAAACTTATTAGATGTTCGTAGTTTAAAAATTAAATTGTTGATCGAAATTAAATACACATATGAAATTGATGTAAAAAATATCACCACCACTCTAAAACATGTTTAAATCGATTAATAATTCAAAAGAGAATATATATTCGTTCATTAATCTTTAGCGATCGATATGTGCTGCATAATTTAATCTTCAGTCTAATTTTAATACCTACCACCTGTATTAAACAAACAAAAGCTGTCTAGCTATTAATTAAATGCTATTGAATACGGGATGCTGTGTAATCTTTGTTCATATAATGGAAATGATTTTTGTTCGCATTAAAAACTTATCGTTGAAATTTGAATAACAATCACCAATCTTAAATATTTCAATTTCAATTTCAATTCCAAAATACTTTATTATTTTATTGATATTTAAATGTCACTTCTTTTTAGAATGCCAGTATGGAATGTAAGCGTCATATTTCGGTTTCACGATATCGCTCAAATTTGGGACGAACTTGAAATTTCTGAAAAATTCTAGCTCTAAAAATGTAAACAGTGTTTTTTTTTCACTTGTATTCTTTAAGATTACATAATAAAAACTTATAAATATTGATTGATTTTGTCAATCATTAATATTAAAGTCCATTTATTCTTATCATTCCAAAGTAAAATTTCATACATAGATGATTTAGAAAAATAAAACTTGGCGTATTTTTTTTTTGAAATATGCACTTTTGAAAGATTGATGAATAAAGTGTAAATGTTGCACTGATAAAACAACATTAACATCAATTAATTTATTTCGGAACAGTTGTTGCAATAATAGAAATTGAGGATCACCGTAATTCAGTATCAAATATTTTTAATAAATTCCTATTAACAATTGCTTCCTTTTGTGAGTCATCTTTTTCCGGATAAATTAAAGGCCTTTGCAATTTTAGAGATCCATATTTAGATGTTGGTGCTATATTTTGAAGCCAATGCTTTGCGACAAGCCTTGAATTCATCGCTTTTTGTGAATGGATACTTTCTATAGACCTATTTGGGCAATTTACTTGTACCAATTCTTCATTTCCATAATTACTATTATTATCACAAAATGATGGCGTTTGAGTACGCGAGTTATTGTTGAAAGTTTCAATTGCAGTTGATTCTTGCGATCGTTGAAAAAAACACTCTCTAAAAATTGAAGTATAATTGTAAACATAACCGTAAATACCAAATAAACTTATAAAATGGATATTGTAAAATATCTATCAAATTCTTTTGTTTTTGCTAAATAATAAAAATAACTTTTCATCCTCCAAAGCAGTAACGTATGATTCGGAATTTTGTGGATCGGTACTGATCATCGAGAATGATTCAAAATCTGAGCAAAATTGTGAATCACTGCATTCTGATTCCTCCGCGATAGAATTTGGATGAATCAATATATTATTATCAATTTCATAACATTCTTGCCGAGTAATTTTATTTGTTCGTTCATTTATCACAACATTATCATAACTAAAATGGAATTTTATGTTAATGTTTACTTCAAAAATTCGAGAAATATGCTGAAAAGAGAAAATAGAAGTTGTAAAAAATTCAAGCTGGACAAAAGTTGATAAATATTTGACAAAATATGAAATGTTTCCAAATTATCTATGAATACCTTGAATAATGGCGGTATTTTTTCAACAATTCATAATTGAAAGTGCTATTGTCATAAGACTGTAGTGGTCTGAAAAGGACATTTAAAATACAAAAGAATATTTTTAGATGGAATATTTCGATAATGCAAATAATTTAAAGTGTGTATAATTAAAGAAATAATTAAGTTAAAAAAATAATCAATTAATTAATTAATTAATTAAATAAACATTACATTATAGGGCTATTCCTGGCCGAAATATTGCTATTTGTCGAAATGTTCCTCGTTGTAGCGAATTCGTTCACCTTTGCGCATTTATTGACAATAAAGCTCTTTTTGTCTTTGTCTTGAATTCTACCGCCCTGTTTCAACTTATTTTCATCACGCACTTCTTTCTTCCTCTGCAAATGTCGTTGAAGTGCGATTTTAAATGATTCGGAATGTACAGCAATAGGTTGATTCAACCATCGATGTTTCAAAATTTCCAATAAATCTGGTCGTCTGGATGGTGTCACTGCAAGACACTGACGCAACAAATTTTCACAGTCTGCAAATTAAAGTATGCATATGCTGATTTTTATTTGAAATTCAAATTAATAGTTGTTTGATGACGAAAATAGTAAGAGAGGAAAAAAAATTTTAAAAAGTCAAGTTTTTTAGATTATCAAAAGTTAAAAAATTCGATCAATTAATTTTTGTTAAAAATCAAAAAAATTTGCATATAAATTAAACCAACCTTTTGAAATGTGTTTTGGAATGATGAATCTGCCTAAGCAAATTTGTATTTCATTCTGAAATGGTAAACAACCAGAAACCATAACATATAACACTATGCCAAGTGACCATACTGTTGCTTCTAACGGCTTATATGCTAATCGTTTAAACCATTCTGGTGGACAGTACGAACGAGTACCTGACATTAAAAAAAGAAACAAAAGATGAAAACAAAATTCTAAGTTTTATAAACAGGCATAATTACAGATAATTCTTCCCTTTATTGCAAATACAATTCAACGCGTGTCTTCACATCGTTCTTCTGCTTCAACCAGCCACATTGGAATAGGACTCAATTCTTATTTCATAATCAAAGGACCAACATCTCAACAAAGACAGAGTTGCAATCCCTCTACTGAATACCTCACAAGAATCTATTAGAATAAAGCTGACAAAAAACTTTTGCGACAATATTATGATTGTCTGTTGGATGTAGCATTGCGAACAGTGATAAGTTGCACTTCATAGAAATAACTGAATATTGCTGATAATAAAGAATGATAGTGACGGTAACCAGTCATACTTAAAATATGTAGCCCTAAGCACTTTGCTAATTTAAAAGTTCTAAAATTAGCATTCAATGAATGAAAACATTTAGAGAAAGAAATGTTACCGCAAGTAGAAAGTAAAATTTCCACGTAAAATGGTATGATTGTCAAACTATCAATGATATTCAGTGGTTCTAATATAAATTTTTTTTTTCGCGCGCAGACAATAAATCGAGCAAAATATTCGAGTGTAAACCATATTATACAAACCTAAAATTGAATTTAAAATTTAAAATTTCAGTTAAATATTAATTTCATATTTATGCTTTTTTCTCTCTTTCTCATCCATGTGTTAATTGATGAGAGAATTCAAACGTTTGATGTGTACGAATCACCTAAATGCTTACCACAATCTGCAAAAGTTGCCTCTCTCTCTCTCTCAAAATTCCATTGAACATTTTTCTAAATAGACAAATAGCTTTCTCTAATCTCAATTTAAGGACTTTTTTTTTCAAGTGAAAATTACACCTAATAATCAGGTAAACTGACGATACCTTCTATTTCATCAATTTTTCAATTTGAGCAATTATCCACTAATTGATGCTAATTCAAAGCTTGTAATTAAGAAAAGATTCTCCATGTGCTGCTAAATATTACAATCATGACGCACCAATTCAATAGATTCCAAAGTGGAATGAAGTCGAAAATCAAGTTTTGCACTTGTTGCACTCATATTGTAATTGAAAGTTTGCCATTCTGGTGTTGAACCGAGGATCATACCAGTCACCGATACCACAACCATAATTATGCTTACAAGCGCAAAAATCTGTAAATGATTAAGAAGACGCCATAAATGAAATGATATTTGAAACAAGTGCGCATATATCTATCTTTCAACATTTCACTCATAATTACTTAAATATCAATTCACTTAAAAAAAAGTTTAATTCATCTAAAAAAGAGAAATGTAAATGATATTTAAAAAAAAGAACATTTCAGTTAGAAACAAATTCAAGATATATATTTAGAAAAAAAATCCCAATTTATTGAAATTTAATTTAAATACCAGAAATATCATTTTATTTCTCATTTAATGTAAAAATTAAATGTAAAAATGTAAAACTTAGATAGCTTTTCGTAGTTTCAACATGCGTTTTTTTTTCTAAAAAAAATGTAACCTTAGCCGCGGTGCCTGTACCGGGATTTTCCATTAAAAGCCACAATTTACGCCTTTGATCATCCCAGCAAACTCCATCAAATTCATCACCTTTAATGCATCGAAAAATTAATATTGCTTCATTGCTAAACTTTTAAGAAGTTTACAAAAATTTCCCATCCCATTTTTTCACAAGAAAATTTAAGTAATTTTAAGAGAAGAAAGATTTAAGTAGTCAATATAGAATCGTTGAAAATCTTCACCAATTTAACAAAACGATATGTTAAACTATTCGGCATTCTTATTTTAGAATCATATCAATTCTATCATTTAAATTTTTATTAAAATAATTTTAGAGTAAAAATTTTTTCCTTTTTTTTCAAAAGCAATAAAACAATAAAAAATTTTTAACCTTTAATAAACGAACCATAAGCAAGAGAATCTTTGTCTCCGTTCGCTAATTCATCATTTTCATATTCACTGATCATCATCATGCAGCATGGCGCAAAAAAATCCCTGAGTAATAAGTTTACTATTATTTCACTTGATAAACAAAGATGACATTACTGTTATCACTAGAAATCAGTGATGCCGATAAAGTGTTATATCATTAAATTACAATTTTAGCATTATTACGAAGGTCTTAGTTAAACTGCCTCAAATTTATCACTTATACTTTAATATTACGTTTATTGCTATCACTTAAGATACTACATTTAAATATGGTATTTACACTGAGTTTAAACTCAGAAAAGTTGAAAATTTTTTTTTAAAAAACTTTTTGTTGCAGAAATTAAATTTATTCCATCTACCGATGCCACTATTGGTTGTTCACTCAGTATATGCGAGTAAATTTAGAAAAAAAAACTTGCATAAATTTTCATTGACTAATATGTATTTTTCACTATAATATAAAATTTAAGCTAAAAATTTTGTGATACTTTTCGATTTATTTTCATTATTACTATAAAAATGATAAATTCTTTTATCAAAAAAGTGACAGAATTATATTCCATAAATGTGCTTGTCAAAACTTTCTTTTTTTTAAATTGATTTTTTGATTGAAATGATTTTTATCTGCTTCCATTTGTACCTCAGTTGAAAGTAGATTTTAAAAAAATCGCGAATGACGAGATTTATTTTTTAATTAAAGTAACTCAAAATTGGCTATCTATTACAAATCCATAGGTCAATTGCCCACCTTACTGATGCATTTACTATAACACATTTGCAAATATCTCAATTTAGAAAAAAATTAGTGGAAAATTTTTTGCAAATTGTAAAATCACAATCATTTCTCGTCGATGATCATTTAGTGATGCTAATTTTTGCAAAAGTTAGTTAAAGCTATCAACTGCATAAAAACAATATTCAGCTCCGTTAATTGTTAAATAGTATTTAAAGAGCAAAAAAAAATTTTTTTAAATAACTTTTTAATTTTCCAGAAATCCAGTTCTTTGAAGAGTCTTTCGCAACAAATATCACTTGTTCGATGAAAATGTCCGGTTGTTAAAAAATCATAAATTGGTTCAAATAATTTTCCAGAACGTTCGAAAAAATACTCTCGTGTATCAGATAAATAACCGTTACAACTTTCCACTCTTGCTGCATGTGTTTCACGGCAAAATTCAGCTAATAACGATGTTGGACATCGATACTGTAACATTTTATCCCATAGATAAATTATGATTAGCAACAATAAGAAAGCTTTCATTTAATAAATTTTACAAATCATATGAAGAAATTTAATTCCAAATATTAAAATGTGCAAATTTAATTTTAAGAACATACCTGTATAGTTGAGTAACGAATGCGAAAATGTGAACCACCAATATTAAGAAGTAAATGAAAATCGAAAGTATTTTCATTTTCAACCAGTGCCGTTTGCGCATCCATTTTAGAATCGCTGAAATATCCATCATTTTACATTTTTGTAACTGCTATTGCTATGGCTATTTATTTAAAATGTGGAGCATTCAAGTATTTGACATTTCCATATTAAAATTTATTTGAAAAGTGCATAACAATTGTTGAAAAATTGTGTGCCATTTTTTGCTATCCCAATATATTTCACTAATGATGAATGATATCTTGTGCTTATTTCGAGAATTTAAATAAAAAATTTCAAATTTTTTGTATGAAAATGTAAGATGGCTCACTCTGAGATCTTTTTCACATTATTCCAACCAAATTTATTTTTCCGATCAACGCTTACACGATTTAATTCGCGTGATAAAATTCTATTTTCGTTTCTATTAATACCAATATCTCGATATTTTTGTCTGTTCATCAAATAAATTGCATTGCTAAAATTAATTTGAATATGTTGAAGAATTGTTATCAACAAATATCATTCAACTGCTTATCAACAAATATCATTCATTTAACTGCTCGAAAATTTCATGAGCATATGCAATTTAAATGCAATTAATATGAAATGATCGAGAGTTTACGGTAAATGTTGCAAAAGCAATAATAATTAAAATAATGAATTTTTTCGTAGTAAACATTCATTAATGAAAGATATATTTCTTCCATCTTAAGCAAATTTACTCAATGCTATTATTAATGTATGCTATATTATAAATAATTCTGTAATAGCACCGCTATTATAAATACATAATAGCAATGCTATTATATATTTTATAACAGTGGTGCTATTATTAGTATATTTATAATAGCAATACTATTACGAGCATTATTAATGCAAGCAATTCCATTTTCAGAAATTAAAAAGTATTAAAAAAAAAAGAGGACATTGCTAGCATTTTTCATCGAACTATACCAATTTTGGTGTAAATTAATGCGCTTGAAATAGTTACGATGAATTTGAGAAATTAAATTGAAACATGTATTGAATCAAAAGATTTAATTTTGCAACAAGGAAGAGAAGAATCCTCGAGAAATTGTTTATTTTATGAAACAATTCATTTTTCATATAAATTAGCATTGCAGTTATGCATTTATTTCCTACAATTGATGTTAAAAATTTTCTGACAGAAACTTGCGAAATTTAGCAAAGAGATAAAAAGAAAAAAATGAAGTAATCAAATAATGATAGTGTTAATAATTATTATTAACATGTTATGCGCAAAATGTTGATTATAATTTGTAATTTTTCATAAACTAAACTTCGTTTATATTTATAAGTTCGTTTTATTTTATCACTTATTGTTAACTGCAACAAGAAAATAATTTTTATAATTTTCCCTAATAACAAGAATGTAGTTTGTTTTTTGGTAACGAAAAAACAAAATATAAAATAAAAAATCAATGATTTTATCGATAGAAAAGCATTAGTTCGCAATCACTCTAACTTTCTGAAGAGGATAAAATAAATCCAATCCGGTTTGTGTTTCATTTCTTATTTATCCGGAAATGCTTGCATTCTTCATGAACAATGGATAGCATTCATAGATCATAAAAGTGTATGTGTGAAAATTCTTTCAAACTTATTGAGTTTAATTCATTTAGATTGCTTTCCAATAAACTATAGAATAAATCGTTATTGTCACTCATCCAAGTAAACTTGCTATATTAACTTTTCAAGCTATATTATTGTGAGCCTTAGCTGGGAAGAAAATAATTATTTTTCAAAAATTTTCCTACAAACTTAACAATTTGAGAAATGATGAATTTTTTTTTTAAACTTTTAATATAATATTTTGTAGTAGAGATATATGATTAACTGAAAAAGATTAATCTTTTCAAAATGAAAATTTTCCAATGAAATTTATTTGAAATAGAAATATTTGTGTTTTTCAACTTTTTCGTTCTTTTTTCTAATTTTGTTGAAATGCTACAATAAACTTGCTAGAGGAAGAAAGTTTAGTATGATATTTGAATAAAATTAGCAACAGATTAAATATTAAAAGAAATATTACTGACCACTCTGCTGCAATGCGCCGTTACGTAAACTGCCACGTAAACGTCCAGCGATCATCGTACAATCACTTTAGATAAATATTGAAACATTTTATCAATTCCAGTCATTGCGATCAGATAATTGCTATATTAATAATTCAATGATTTCATAATAAAACTCAACCCTCCATTTATTCTTAATATAACTGAAAAATGATTATTTGTCCGATTGAAAGAGATCATATCTGATCAGTTTAAAAATTCACATATTTCTTAGCTTTCATTGATTGCACAATTAATTCAGAAAGAAAAAAGAATTAATTGACATTAAAGATATCAATTTTTTATTATATAGCTCAATAAAAAAAAATTTTTCTGATTGGAGTTTTCTTTTTTCTTTTTGATCATTTGAAATTTTTAAACGAATATTTTGCAACACTTTACAGATTATTTGATTGATTCATGAGAGAATGGAAACGAACTGATATAATAAATTGTAATAAAAATACGATTTATTTGAAGTTCGAAAGCAAAAACGAAAAGTTTATTCTTTGGAGAATAAAGCTAATTAAAGTGCTTAATACAACGGAAACCTTATGAGCGTAAATAGCCCACGCTAACATGTTTTGCATTAAAATATTGACTTTGAATAAGGACAACAGATAACTGAGAATGCAAATTTAACCAGTTTTGTTGATGTGAAAAGAGTGTGAGGTCAAAATGGATAAGCATTATGTTAAACAGTGTCATAGATAACTTACTGATATGAAACAGGAAGTAAAGAGTCCAATATTAACATGCAAAATATTACTTACGTCAATCTTGTTTTCGAAAATTTTCAAAACTAACTTCAATAGTGTAAATTAATGAAAATAGGTATCAAATCAACTGAGCTGCTCTTTTATTTTTTTGTTAAAGAAAAGCTTCATAGTTTCAAATTAAAAGGAGAAGCAATTTCATTATACATAGAAATATGTAAAAATGTAAAATATGCTCTTAAAAAAAATATTTTCTTCTGTTAAAAGAAAACTTAGGCCCAGACTTAGGCTTAAGTGTAGGCTTTAGAAAATGGAAAACAATGAGAGATTGAATAGGTGAAAAGAAGCGAAAAATCAAGCTGTCATTAATTCGATGCAATTTAACCCTTGCTGTCTTTGTGATGTGATGTGTGTGTGTGTGTGTATGTGTCTGTGTCTGTGCAAAAGAAAGGATGATTGAGGCCATTAACTGACTGTCAAATGAATGTTTGGATGAGGGCCTGAGTCAATGAATTAATGATTTCCTCCGGTTTATCCTTAAAAAAGAAGAAAAAAACAAAAAAAAATGTTGCATTTTGAAACGTCTATCGGATTTTTTTCGGCTATTGAGGACTAGCAATTCTGTGATAGTTTTATTAATACACCTTTATGAGTAGGCCTTTCAGAATTTTTACCGGATCTGGAAGGCTTTTTAAATGTTATGAGAGTGGCAAAGAAATTGGTTATGGTAGAAAGATGTATGACGTGATATATTTCCTAAAGCATCAATGAAATGGAAAAACATTACTTTTTTTTTATTTGATCGATTCTGAACTATTGTAACAGTTCTGTACAGTCTTGATTTCAGACATAGCTATTTTTCTAGTATCAAAGATGTTGAAAGATGAAAAGTTCATTTTGTTAGCAGAATTTATTTGTAATCTAACTGACTGTATTTCTTATTGCTCATAAAATTTGATAGCAGCTAAAATGCATCATCAAATTCAATGACCGGTGAATGCTAGCTGATATTTTACTTTTTGACCTTCCAAGTCTGGATACTTAATATAAACCTTAATTTCCTTCTTCACTTTATATCCGAGTGGTTTTTCGGAAATCGGTCTTAGCCATGATGTTCATTTTGTTTTGTAAATTAATTCAAAGGGTGGAAAAGTTACTTCCTGTGAGTTTATCTCTTGGGAAGAACGTTAATTAAATGTTTTAATTTTGAAAATATAAAAAAGTAGCAAAAGATTTTTGGCAATTTTCAGCACTCAACGAGTCTCATACCTTCCTTAAGTATTATCGAGCAATTTCTTTTTTTTTTTTTGTTGAAGGACTATGGAAGAGTATGGCCTTTTTTCGTGAGAATTTGCCTTAAAGGTCTTTCATTTTTTCTCTCTTCTCCAGGATTGTTTGGTTTTCTTTTAAGAAATTTGATAATTTAAAAGTGAAATTCCGAAAACTTGCGAGATTATATCATCCGTTTTTTTCTCATGTCATTTCAAGGGATCAATTTTTTTAGGAAATTTTTAATTAAAAAATAACGGAAGCTATTAAAATGCAGTATTTTTGCAGTTTTTTTCTTTTGAAATTTTTTTTTTCATAATAAGAAAGCGACACAAAATACTACCAGTTTTAAATTATTAGAGATTAATTCTGGAATAAAAAAATTTCTAAAACTTTTGTTTTGGAATAATTCAACTTTTAAGTGCTAAAAATCTATAAAACGAATGATTAAAAAAAATATAAAAACGAAGAACAGAATTTATCAAATAATATAATAAGAATGATCATTACATATGAACTATTTGAAGAAGAAAAAAAATCGGAAATGTGAATTTGAGAGTGAAAACGAAACAGAATGAAGTTTACTTTACATTTTACT